ACTAACTGGTCAGGTACTGTTCGGTTTGGGAAGAAACATTAAATGTCTTTTAGGTAATGTGACTTGGTTTTCTGTGTGATATTTAAGAAATGTTCTTTGTATAGGCAGAATTTGTAAGGATCTGGAGTACAGAGGAAAATATAAACAAGTCAGTTTTGAGAGTCATGCAGATATACGTGATGAAATTACAGAAATTGTTGATATAAATTGGAAATAAAACGAAATATAAATTGCAGGAACAGAAAGCCCACATGCAAGAGAGAGGAGCAAGCTCACAGACTAAAAAGGAGCTGTTTAGGGAGGTAAAATGAAAATCATGGGAGAACCAGAGAAGCTTAAGAAAAAATAATGTTTCAGAAATACTACCTGTTAAATTAAAGTCAGATTACTGGGCTGAAAGAGCCTTCCATGTTAGGAAGTCTTTGACACCTTAATGAAGCAGTAGAAAAGTGCAGACCAGAGAAGAATGAATAAGGAGGTAAAGCTTGGATGTAAATAGGAGAAAAAAGGGTGACTGGAGAGTATAGAGCTAAGTGAAATTTTATTTTTAATTGTTTCAATGACTGAATTTTGGAGTGAAATATGGAGTGGTAGGCTTAGAGAATTAGCAAGGAAGTAGGAGGGATCTGGAGGGGTTCCTATGAGTAAACCTAGTTAGGAGTGGAGGGAGAGATTTCTAGGCTGAAGCAATAGCATGCAAAGGGTTGGAGAAAGAGAATTATAAGCTAGTCAAGAAACTGGAGGAGGCCATACCTATTGGTAAGTAATTTCATCTGCTGGAGAAGCTGAGTCAGGAGGATCACAAATTTGAGGCCATCCTGGGCATTTACAAGACCCTGTCTCAAAATAAAATTTAAAAAGATCTTGGGGATGTAGTTCATAGGCAGAACATTTTCATGTGCAAAGCCCTGGTTTCATCCCCAGTATTGCCAAACACACACACACACACACACACACACACACACACACACACACACACACACACCTTCAAGAAAATACAGTACCTTATAGGTAGAATTTAGAAGTCTGAGCACAGAATAAGAAAGGAAACTGAAAGTAGGAAAAGATGCTAAGGGTAAATAAATCACAGAGGATCTTTTGCTTTCCTCTAAGGTTTTTGCTTTTGTTTTTCTACAAGTCACATTAGATTTACATGTGAACCAACATGACTTTGTGTCTTTTCTCATTGCTGAGACAAAATACTCACCACCCAAAATTAAAGGAGGAAAGGTTTATTTAGCTCACTTTATAGAGGTTTCAGTCCGTAGTCAGCTGGCTCCAAGGCAGAGTGACATGGCAGAGGGACATTGCAAGGGGAAAACATTCCATGGCAAAGCAAGGCAGGCAGAAGGCAGCAAGCAGCAAAACTCCAGAAGCAGCAGCAACAAGCCTGTCTTTCCCTTTTTATCTCATCCAAGCTACACACCTTTTGATTGGTGCCACCTATACCCAAGAGGAAAATGGCAAAGCAAGGCAGGCAGAAGGCAGCAAGCAGCAAAACTCCAGAAGCAGCAGCAACAAGCCTGTCTTTCCCTTTTTATCTCATCCAAGCTACACACCTTTTGATTGGTGCCACCTATCACCTATGTGGGGGCATCTTTAATCCCAGATTGAAAGTAGGAAAAGATGCTAAGGGTAAATCACAGAGGATCTTTTGCTTTCCTCTAAGGTTTTTGCTTTTGTTTTTTAACAAGTCACATTAGATTTACATGTCTACCAACATGACTTTGTGTCTTTTCTCAGTGCTGAGACAAAATACCCACCACCCAAAATTAAAGGAGGAAAGGTTTATTTAGCTCACTTTGTAGAGGTTTCGGTCCGTAGTCAGCTGGCTCCAAGGCAGAGTGACATGGCAGAGGGACATTGCAAGGGAAAAACATTCCATGGCAAAGCAAGGCAGGCAGAAGGCAGCAAGCAGCAAAACTCCAGAAGCAGCAGCAACAAGCCTGTCTTTCCCTTTTTATCTCATCCAAGCTACACACCTTTTGATTGGTGCCACCTATACCCAAGGTGGGGGCATCTTTAATCCCAGCATCTTACAACCTATATCCAGCCACTTCCAAAAAGTCCCACCTAGGACTGCATGAGGCTTGGGTGCGGGGCGGGCTTGGCAATTGATTGGATGTTGGAGGATGGTAGATGATTGGATGTGGGTAGAGGCAAAAGGGATGAAAGAATCAAAGATGAAGCAAAAATAACGTCTGGGTTTCTGATTTGAGGAACAGGATGAAAATACTATTCTTTCAGTGACCATAGGAATGGTCTTGGATGGGAAAAATTTTGGATTTAGTTTTGAATGTGTTAATATAAGGTAATTTTGGTGGTACATCCTAAGAGAGTTATTATGGAGGTGATTGCATGTATTAGTCATCTGGGCTGGCATTCAGAAAGTAGATGCCACCTGAGGCTATGGAGAATACTTGAGACAAATTAGGATACCTGAGTCAGAGTTTGCTTCACAATTTGCCCCTACTAATGAGGAGTAAATGCTAACTCTGCAGGGAGTTAGGTCAACTTTATGGTGTAAAGGAGTATTAAGGTAAATAGCAAGCAACTTTATGATAAGAAGAAATACTATGAACGTGTTTGGTGGGTGTGCATTTGTGCTTTCTCCCATAGGGATAAAAATTATTTGAACAGAAACAGTAGATCTGTTGATGAATTTTCTGGCATATGTTACTTTCTTAAATTAATAATAAAATTATTGGGTGATATGTATCTTCAGTATTATAATTTTCTCCACCCTTCCTACCAGGGATTGAACTCAGGAGCTTGTGTTTGCGAGGCATGCTCAGCACCACTGAGCTGAATCCTGTGCCCTTTTTTGTTTGTTTAGAAAGGTTCTTGCTATATAGTCTAGGATGGCCAAAGCTGTCCTGCATCAATCATCCTCCCAAGTGCTAGGATTACAGACATGAGCCACCCTGCCTGTTCCAGTTTTCTAAGTTAAATAAGAATAATTTAATTGGATTTTTTCCATATATTAAAATATGAGAAGTGGCCATTAAAGGCATTTTAATTCAACAGAAATACAAATATATGCTCAGCACCACTGAGCTGAATCCTGTGCCCTTTTTTGTTTGTTTAGAAAGGTTCCTTGCTGTCCTGAATCAATCATCCTCCCAAGTGCTAGGATTACAGACATGAGCCACCCTGCCTGTTCCAGTTTTCTAAGTTAAATAAGAATAATTTAATTGGATTTTTTCCATATATTAAAATATGAGAAGTGGCCATTAAAGGCATTTTAATTCAACAGAAATACAAATATAAAATCCGTAGATTTAAGAAAACTTATTTCATATAAAATTTGTTTTCAAATTATTTGTCCAGTAGCTTTGATACAGTCTTTCCTGTATTGCTATTATTTTAAAAAGAAAATTATATCAAACTATACATTTTTGTTTGTTTGTTTTGAAAGAGGGTCTCGCAGTGTGGCTCATCCTGGCCTGGAACTCACAGAGATGCCTCAGCCTCCCCAGCACTGGGTCGACAGGTGTGCAAAATTATTTGTCCAGTAGCTTTGATACAGTCTTTCATGTATTGCTGTTATTTTAAAAAGAAAATTATATCAAACTATACATTTTTGTTTGTTTTGAAAGAGGGTCTCGCTGTGTGGCTCATCCTGGCCTGGAACTCACAGAGATGCCTCAGCCTCCCCAGCACTGGGTCGACAGGTGTGCATGCGTCACCATGCCAGGCTTATCAAACTGGTTTTTTTTTTTGCAGACTTTTATTTATTTATTTATTTATTTATTTATTTATTGGTAATGGGGATCGAACTTGGGTCCTTGTGCTTGCGAGTCAGGCTTCGGAACCACTGAGCTAAATCCCCAGCTCTAGCAGACTTATTTTTTAAAAAGGTTGTGAAAGCGTATTTTCTCATAGATTTTCTTATTTTAGATATGCATTATCACTTTTTCATTTCTTCTCCTGATTGATTTTCTTTCTGTAGTTTATTAGAAACTTACAGGGCTGAGGATGTAGCTCTGTGGTAGTTTACCTAACATGTGCAAAAGCCCTGGTTTTATCCCAGTACCTACCCCGTCCCTAAACCCCATAACATTAAATTTGTAAGATTAGCATGTTTTTAAGTGAATTTGAGGAAGATTGTAGATAATGATAATATAAATTTGTTTTTGTAAAGAAAATATTTTTTCTCTTATCTCTGCTTATTGATATCACCTCTGTATAATTCAGAACATATGACATCTGTGAAGTATCTCCCGGACCTCACTTAAACATGATTATTGGAGCGAATGGAACAGGGAAGTCAAGCATTGTGTGTGCCATTTGCCTTGGATTAGCAGGCAAACCTGCTTTTATGGGACGGGCAGATAAGGTGAGTTAACAAATTACTTCTTAAGAAAATTCAACCATTAACTGCTTTTAAAAACAAGTCTTATTTCTACATTTCTACAGTTTGTTGGGTATTGTAAATTTATAATGATTGCATATGACGGATGATTTTGGTAGGTAGAAGCTAGAAGGATTTTTGTTTTGTAGGTGCAGTTTATATATATATATATATATATATATATATATAGTATTATATTGCAGTATTGTAATCATTTTTTTAAAAATTTGCTTTAATTTTATCCCAAGCCCCCTCTTCACCTTATGTACCAACAGCTTTCATTTTTTTTCTTCTGTTTTCACTTTTTTCTTGTCCCTTTCCTTCTCCCTCCCTCCTCCCTCCCTCCTCCCCTGTTCCTCTTCCCATTTGAACATTTTCTTCCCATTTCCCAATATCTGTTAAACAATTTAGTCTTTATTTCCACTTTTGGTTTCTCACACCAGAGAAACAGTGTGATTTTTTTGTTTGTTTGTTTTGTTGTTTTTTTTTTTTTTGGTACCAGGGATTGAACTGGGGCCCTTGAGCTTGTGAAGTGGGCACCAGAACCACTGAGCTAAATCCCTGGCCTAACAGTGTAGTATTTAAGCATGTGTGTCCAGTTTGTTTCACTTAAGAGTATGTTCTCAAGGTCCATCCATTTAGTTATACACGTTTGAAGCTCATCCTTCTTTATGGTAGAGTAGTACTCCATTATATTTAAAAATGTGTCTTTATCCCCCTTGAGCTTGTGAAGTGGGCACCAGAACCACTGAGCTAAATCCCTGGCCTAACAGTGTAGTATTTAAGCATGTGTGTCCAGTTTGTTTCACTTAAGAGTATGTTCTCAAGGTCCATCCATTTAGTTATACACGTTTGAAGCTCATCCTTCTTTATGGTAGAGTAGTACTCCATTATATTTAAAAATGTGTCTTTATCCACTCTTTGGTACTTGTGAAGCGGGCGCCAGAACCACTGAGCTAAATCCCTGGCCTAACAGTGTAGTATTTAAGCATGTGTGTCCAATTTGTTTCACTTAAGAGTACGTTCTCAAGGTCCATCCATTTAGCTATACATGTCTGAAGCTCATCCTTCTTTATGGTAGAGTAGTACTCCATTATATTTAAAAATGTGTCTTTATCCACTCTTTGGTTGATGAGCATTTAGGCTGTTTCTAAGATTTAGCTATTTTAAACTATGCTGCCATAAACATGGGTGTGCATGTATCGCTGTGGTATGATACTTTTACTTCTTTCAGGAAGATACCAAGAAGAGGAATAGCTGGTCAAATGAAACCTAGTTTTAGTTTTTTGAGAAATCTACACTGATTTCCACAGTGGTTACAACAGTCTACACTCCCACCAACAATGGGGAAGGATTTCCCCCCACCCAGTGTTTGTTATTGGTTGATTTGATAGTGTCCATTCTTTCTGGAGTGAGATGGAATCATAGAAAGAATTCATTGTTTTAATTTGCATTTCACTGGTGACCAGTGATATTGAACATATTTCCCCCCTCATCTTAGAATTCGAACTCAGGACCTTGTGCTTGCAAGGCAGGTGCCCCTGCACTAAATCCCTGGCCCTGAACATTTTTTCATATTTTTATTTGCTGTTCTAATTCTTCATCCTAGAAGTCTCTTTTCAGATGCCCATTTTTTGATTTGGTCTTTAAATTTGGGGGGGATTTGTCTGATTTTTTTTTTTGAGTTGTTTATTGAACATAATAGTCCTATATCTGAATAGCTGGTAATAAATTTTCTTCTACTCTGTGGGTTGTCTCTTTACTTGGTGGTTTCCTCTTGCTGTGAAAAAGCTTCTCTTTTTTGGTACTGGGGCTTGAATTCAGAACCTTGTGCTTGCAAGGGAGGCAGCAAGTGCAAAAACTTTAATAAGATGAAGTCCAAGTTATTGATTCTTTGTAATATTTCCCACACTCTGGGTTTTGTTCATATAGTCTTTGCCTACTCCTCTGTCCTCAAGCATTCTGCGTATCTCTCTTCCAGAAGATTTGATGTTTCTGTTTTAATATTTAGATCTTTGATCCATTAGAAGGATATTTTTATGACTAGAGATATCATACACCTAGTGACTTATCCAAATGCTTATTACCTGAATTCTAGATATAATAATGCCATTTATTAAATGCATTGCAGGGCTTGTGGAAGTGCGGAATAAATTTACCAAGGGCAGCAACAAATAGTGTGAAGGATAGAAGTAAGTTCTGGAATAGTTTTTCCAGGACATTTGCTGATACCTCTTGTACCTTAAGGTGTGGCTTTGAGTTGTCTGCACAGGTTTAGAGGGTCATAAAAGTAGAGATGGTCTAGAAGGTAAAACCTGTGTGAAGAAGAAAAACAGTATCATGGAATTGGATAGTACATTTACCTATATCATTATTAGGTCTGCAAGGGGGGAGTGGTGAGAAAATCATATGAAGAATTCATAATAACAGCCTTAACACATTTGAGGCCAGAATTTGTATTATCTGTATGGCCTAGAGAGCATAAATTACAATTTTAATTTCAAGTAGTCTGAGTTAGTAATATTTCCACATACTTGGCAAAAGAAATGTAAATCTTTCAATCTTGTCTTTAAATGAATATTAACATAATATTCTAAGAAGTTCATGAATTGATGCCTCATAATCACAAAACAGGAGAAAATGAATCATGTGAAATGGTTAAATCAGAAACATAATTTTAAGTAAAAATGCCATCTTGGAAGAGTTCATATAATATAACTTTAACCAGGAGAGCAAAAAATAAAATAACAGACTTAGTGTTCAGGGATATACATTTATTTAGTAAAACTAAAGAAGAGCAAAATGATTAATGAATTATACAGATTACATTTGTTGAGGGGGAAAGAAGGTTGGAGATGGGGTGAGTTGCATAAAGAATGTCAGATTTAATGACATCAGTTTCTTAAATTGCTACACAGTTGTTTTATTCTGTAAATAGTACGTGAAGTTTGTATATGCTATTGAATATATAATTTATTTTACAAAACTATATTTTTAAAAGAAAGTCAGAATTGAATTGTCACCCGCTATAAAAGATATTTTTAAAACCTGAACTACCGAGAATATTGTGGTACTATTATTATCTAAGAGATATAAACTTTTTAGCTTGACTTAAAATTTAATGTAGGGCTATACAGTTGAACCATATACCCCTTAGAATTGTAAGGAAACCTAGTAAAAATTTTAAATGATGTATTGGAGGCGTTTATGAGGTAGAAAAAGAAGCTTCTTTCTATTAATGATTAACCTTGTGATAGTAGGTCATGATCCAGATTCAGTTTTTCCCATTTCAAAGATAACAGTGGGACGTGGTGGTGCAGTCCTGTAATCCTAGCACTTGGCAGACCGAGGCAGGAGAATTGCTATATAGCCCAGCCTGGGCTATGTAGTGAGACTCTATCTCAGAAAAAGAGGCTTGAGTAATGTTCACAAGATCGGCTCAGATTTTTCTGAATATTGTTGTATAGTTTTTTTTCCTCTGGTACTGGGAATCAAACTCAGGACCTTGCACTTATCAGGAACGTGCCGCTGAACTACATCCCCACCCCTGATGTATAGTTGTTTAGTTGTCAGTGCATAGTCGTGAGTTAGATTGTTGTCTCTGTCTAATTGGTCTGTTGGATTGTATTCCCATGTCTATACAGTTTGGATGAACTGGGCAGTTTTCACCAATCTTCCCACGTCTTGTTTGTTTTGTTTTTGTCATAAAGAAACCACATTTCCAGATCCTGGAATGGTGGAACTTTTGAGGAAGTCTGTGGAATGTAGTGTTTTATAGCAACGAATTGCAGCCCTTTGGATATCCAAAGTTAGTATTTAGGGGATGCTCCAGCCCTCGCAAGACTATTTTAATATTGTTTTTCTTGAAGTATTAATATACACTTTTAATATAACCAGGCCAGGCAAGTGCAAGGGCCAGAGTTTAATCCCCATTCCAAAAAAAAAAGAAAAAAAGATTTGACAAATTTAACACAACCATATTCTATGCCACCTGAATGGATAGTAAAAACTGCGTCCTAATTTGTTTTCCCTTCTCATTGTTTTGTTGTAAGCTAATGCAGCAGTTAGCTCCTATAAGGGTGTTATTGTTTTCCCTATCTGTGAGGAAACAAAGCAACTAAATAATTGGGCCAATCCTGAGCAATTATGTGTTACAGAGTTGAGGTTTAAAACCTAGACAGTGGATATTAAAACAGTCCTCTTAATCATTAGGTTATACTTTCTATTATAGGACAGGCTTTCTTTCATCTTTTTTGGCCTCAGTGTCACCACCCATAAAATGGGTAATATATATATAATTTTTACAGGTAAACATAGTTATTTTCTTTAATTACAATTCATGCTAAATGTAATTATTAATCACATTACTTACTAATTATTAGTAAGTATAGTAGTACTTTGGTTTATGAACTTAATTTATTCCATAATCCTGGGGAAAATGGCCATGTTTGTGTTCATGCAAAAATGATGGTCAAGGTCATGTTTGTCACCTGATGCAGAGTTTGCAAACAAAACCAAAATTTTGCCAAACAATTCTTAGTTACTTTTTACCCAATGCCCAAAGTTAAAAGGGCAAAGTTTGTAGAGGCTTCAGTCCATAATTGGCTCTCTCCAAGCAGGATGGCACATGGCAGAGGGCAACAGTTCATGGGGGAGACAGACAGCAAAAGCAACAGGTGGACCTTAACATCTTTCTGACCCTTTAATCTTACTCATACTACTTACAGCAGGTAGCACTCTCATGCCTTTAATCCCAGCACCCTCAAGCCTAGCATTGCACCATGAATCAGTCGCACACTCTAGATTTGGCCACCTCTGAAGAAGCCCCCGCAACCTACGACTGCATGAGGCTTTGGAGGGACATCTAGACACAAGCCATAACAGCTTCTGTTTGTGAACCAAATTGTTCACAAACAGCATTCATGAAACACGGTACCACTTTATTAAGGTCATTCTTGAGTATTGAATGAAGAGAAAAATGTAAAGTGCTTAGCACAGCAGCACATATTAAATGCTTAATAAATGTTAGCTCTTCTGGTTGTAATTGTTATCACTGTCATTACCACTGTTCAGATTATTTGCAAGGTATAGTTTCCTTCAGTTTTAGTATTAACTACTTAGTTCTAACCCAGTGTAAGATTCAGTCTGATGTTTTTAGACCCGGGCTCTGTTTTTATGGGGCTTGCAGTCATATAGAAAGTAGCTCTAATGTCTGTTTTACTATATAAATGGCAATTATATTTCTCCATTTTTTCAAAAAGTTACCTAATGATAATTACATCCTAATTAATAAAAGGATAGGTTACAGAATGACTACTTATATTTAATTTATGCAACTCTGTCGAGATCTTCAGTAGGATTAACAATGTTCAGCATAGTGCTTTGTGGTTATATTATAGGACATGTATTCTCCTCTCAGAATGTTTAGTATAGTTACTAAGTACACAGGCTCTAGAGCCAGGTTATCCAGATTCAGTCTGTTTTCTGCCACGTACTGGCTCTGTCACAAGCTTCGTAAGAGGCTGACTACCTGGCGCAGAGGAGTCCCATACATTAACGACTAGTATTATATTTAAGGGAAGGAATAATGGAGAGACCCAGATCTGGGAATGATACTTTTGAAAGTAATGGGAATGGACACTTAAATAGTTCTGGAAAAAAAAAAATCTGGATTTGACAGGTAATGATGGTTTCACCCAATTTGTGTTAACCTGGGAATGTCGTTGCACCATTTACCTTTTCTTCTTTTTCTTAGGTTGGATTTTTCGTGAAGAGAGGATGTTCCAAAGGCAAAGTTGAAATTGAATTGTAAGTGTTAAAAAGTGCTGATGTGCTTTTTTATGTGTAATTTTTTGTTTTATTTTATGCTTTCCTAATTAACCATGGAAAATAGTTTAATACAGTAGTGTTGTATAAATGTTAGAAATAATATTTAAATATTACTTTATCCAAACTCTTTTTTAACTCATCTCTTATAATGTAAATTGTAAGAATTTTATTTTTGAAAAATTTTTAACAAGATTCTGAGTTTATAGGAGGTAATGAAATTATACCACTGCTAAATATTCATTAAGAAATTGCAGTATTTTTTACAATTTAAAATATCTGTTGCTTTTTGCTGATTTTGAAAGTTTTTTAAAAAATGCAGACAAAGTAGAAGTATGTAGGTTGAAAATGAAAGCCTTCTTGGTATAATTCTACTTCTAAAACTAACCACTGTTAATAGTTTGATGAATTTCATGTATGACAAATACTTGGCACTTTTGTTACCATTTTTCATGCCCTTCCTTCTAAATTCCTTTTCTTTCAAGCCTGAGTATTGCCCTTTGATCTCTTTTGGCAACTATTTCTGATGAATCAGAATCAGTACTTGTGCTGAAACCAGTTGACCAGCTTTGATGTATATACATTTATTCTTTGTGCACTTGAAAAAAAAAAATAGGAAAAAGCTTATATTGGAACGTAAGAGAAAATGATAAGGGACTTTAGCTTGAAGAGCTAAAAACGATCAGGCCAGCTCTTAACAAAAGAGCTTAGGGAAAAAACAGAAAAAGGACTCCATAGTTTGAGCATTGGCTGAAGAGGATCAGACTGGCCCACCTACAAAAGCAAGAGGCCAGCTTTTGAAGATTAGCTGAGGTGTGATTATTTGTCTCATGCTTGGTCCTTAGCTCAGAAAGAATCCTCATAGGTGATGGTTCCATTCCCATGAAATGATTGACTCTGTTGTGGTTTTACTCAAGTGAGAGTGTTTTTCCTGGTATCAGTTAACTTTTAGTTTAGGGAGATGAACTGGAAGATTAGAGGAGCAGAATAGAAAAACTGGGAACAAAACTAAAGAGAATTTTATGTAAAGGTGGCTGTTTTTCTGTTCTCACCTTCAGCATGACACAATACACTTTTGACACCCGCTTTCTCCACACTCTGCAATTGTTTTGACACTAATTAGAGTTAGTGCAGATCCCACAGACTAGGAGCTCCGTTCTAAAGACTGCCCCTCACAGTAGGGGTCATTTGCAAGTTTCAGGTTGTGCCCTCTACTCCAGCTAGCTATAAATTGGGGTTTCTGGTTCCCCTTCCTTGAGTTTGATTATTTGCTAAGGCAACTCGTAAAATTCATAGAACTTTACTTAGATTTACTAGTTTATTATAAGGGCTTATCATAGAGGATATAGTTGAACAGCCAAATGAAGAGATCCTGAGGGAAAGGTCTGGAAGAGTCCTGAATGCAGGTGCTCCCTCTTCATGGAGGTGGGGTGCACCACCCTCCCAGCGCATAGATATGCTTACCAGATAGAAGTTCTCTGAAACCCTTACTTCAGGGATTTTTATGAAACTTCATCACTTGAGCACTTGGTTTCTATCTTCTCTTCTCAGAGTGCAGTGGTGAAGTTTTCCAAAACTTTTTGGTGACCAGCACCTGTCTAGGAGCTCACTAGGAATTGAAAAGACATTCCCGTCACCCAAGAAATTCCAAGGGATTAGGAGGTCTACACTAGGAATGTATGTTTTTTAATGTCACGAGAGATATGAATTACTCATTGTTGTTATGAATTGACTGCATATGAATTGGCTATTTTTTTAAAAAGGAATTTAGAATTTTATCTAATGAATAGATAAATAACAGATGAATAAACAGATGAATAGAATTTAGGTATATTAAAATACTAAGGAAAAATTATATACCTTTGGAAATAATAGAAAAAAAGTTGAATACTTTATAGTATTAGGAAAGGAAAAGACCTTTCTAAACAGAACAAGAGTCCCAATAGCCATAAAAAATAGTGGATTTGGGTTCTGTAAAAACCCACCTGAAAATAAGGATAGTGTAGTTACAAATGAGTTATAGGTGTAAGTTGGGTATAGTGGTACATGCACTCAGGAGGCTAAAGCAGGAGAATCACTCAGTGTTCAAGGCCAGGCTGAACTGCAACATAAGACCCTGTCTTAAAAATAGCAACAAACCGAAACAAAAAACCGAAAACATTTTTAGCATTGAAAAACATGGAGACATCTTAAAATTACTAATATCCATGTATCATGCAAATTAGTAAAGATTATAAACAATGTAATGTGAAAATGAGCAAAGAAATTTAAAATAAATGGCCCATGGACATAAAATAGCAGTTAACCCACTAGTTACAAGAAAATTCAGGTGAGAATTTTTTTTCTCAGCCCAGAAGAATTTAAAAATCTAAACTATTTGAAGGTATAAGCAAGTAGATATTGTTATGTCCTGTTCCTGGGAGTATAGCTAATATATTATTTTGGGCTGTACCTATTAGCACTTAGGAGGAAAAAAAAGAAAAATATATATATACACACGCACACACACCCACACACACACACACACATACACATGTTCTTTTAGCCTTTTTATCCAGTTATTCTACCCTTTTAGCCAGTTATGCTATTTCACAAGTATCTATTATAGAGAATGTTTATTCATTTACACAAAATTAGCTTTCTCTAAGGGCTGGAAATATAGCTCATTGGTGTCACTGCCTAAATGCAAGGTTCTGAGTTCAATTCCTGGTACCAAAAAAAAAAAGTCTCCTCAAAATTAGCTTTACTGCAATGCTTTTTTTTCTTGATTTTTTTTTTTTGAGATAGTATCTGGCTATGTAGTCCAGGCTGGCCTTGAACTCACCATCTAGCCCAGGCTGACCTTCAACTCAAAGTGATCTTCTTGACTCAGCCTCTTGAGTGCTGGGATTACAGATGTGTGTCACTACACTGGGCTGCTTTCTCTAATCTTAATAGTAAAAAATTGTTTAAACAACCCAATCAACTGCTGAATAACTGAGTAAAGGTGGTATGTCCACACGATTACCTGTTTTTCAGCCATAAGGAGGAGTAAGATACTGATACATGATGTATTGTGGGTGAACCTTCAAAACACTGTACTGAGGAAAAGAAGGCCATAAATTGATTATATGAAATGTCTAGAAGAGACAAATCCATAGAAGCAAAGAGTAGACTAGTAGGTTCCTAGGATATGAATGGAAGAGAAAGCATGGGGTGGTTCTTTAATGGGTATAGATTTCTTTTTGGAAAATGATGAAAATATTCTAGAATTAGATAGTGGTCATAGTTGAACAACCTTGTGAATATACCAGAAACTATTGCTGAACTGAATACCTTAAGGTGGTTAAAATGATATATTTTGTATTAAGTGTCTTTTACTATAATGTGTATACTTTAACATGGTGGTTATATGACGTGTGATTTATGTCTAAATTTTAAAGAAGCAATTCCCAGAGATAAAGGTACTCCTGGATTAGCTCTGCTACCATTAAATAGTGGTTGCAGGCCTTACGCGCTCCTGATTTTGTACTCTAAATCACTAGGCTCATTTGTTTTCTTAGCTAAAAAGTTACATGTGTTAGTATATACTGGCTACTAGCTCTAATAATCTGACTAGTGGCCACTGACTAAAATCCTGTTAGCAAATCTGGAGCAAAGGGAGGTTCTCTTCCCCTATTTTCCATGTGATTACATTTTGATTACTTGTTTGCTCTAGTGTCCAGGTGGTCATGAGAGTACCAAGCATAAAACAGTCATCTTTTTTTGTTGAGATTATTGCTGTTAATGAAATACATAAACTGGCCATGTATTCATAAGTGGTAGAATGAAGTATGACATATATACTTTTATTGAGTACCTGTACATTGGAGATACAGTACTCTGCCCTGGTGGAATTTATAGTTGTAGCATATAAATAAAATGTACTGTGTATACTATGCTAGTTGGTGGTATTTGCTGCACAGAAAAATAACGGGGTATATGAATGAGCAGGAGTGCCAGAGTATTATACTTTTAGATAGGGTGATCAAGAAAGTTCTCAGTGAGAAGACAGCATCTGTGCAAAAGTCCAAGAAAGAAAGGGTGCTAGTTACTTTCCTTTCATTGCTAAGACAAAATACCTGGCACCCAGAGATGGAAGGGGAGGGGTTTATTTGGCCTACAGTTTGTAGAGGTTTCAGTCCATAGTCGGCTGGCTCCAAGGCAGGGATGACAGACGGGCATTGCAGAGGAGAAACAATATGGCATGCACAAGGTAGCAAAGGCAACAAGGAGAGTTTTAAGAGTGTATTCCTGCCCCCTTATATAAAAAAAAATTTTTTTTGTACTAGAGATTGAACTCCGAACCTCGTTCTTGCCAGGCAGGCGCTGTGCGGCTGAGCTAAATCCCCGGCTCTTTCCCCCTTTATCTTATCCAGACTACCAGGACTAGGGTGGTTCTAAACCACTCACTCACATGTAGTGGTTTAGGAATCATACGCCCTTAATCCTCGCAGCACACATTCCAGGTTCACCTTCCTCTGACCAAAGGAGGCTTTGCGGGGACATCCAGACCCACAGCATAACAGGAAGGTTATGACACAGAGCTACTGAGGGGAAGAACATTTTAGGCAGAGAGATGGGCAAATACTAAGGCCTGAAAGTGGTCCGCAGTGTGGGCTACACTGAAAGAGGGGATTAGTGAAAAGTAAGGTGTAAAATGCCAGGCAGTCAGTTTGTAGGACATGGTAGCCCATGTAGGGACCTGATACTTACTGTCTTTTGAAATAAGATGTGAGGCTACCAGGTTTTAAATGGAGGGATGACATCTGACTTAAATTTTAAGCAAATCTAAAAAACAAGGGTTTCAGTTAAGTGACTAATACAATAAGTAGTTTAAAATTTACAAGTTAGACGTATGTGTAGGAGAAAGGTAAAAAGCGCTAAGGAAGAGTCCACAGTTCTGTGTCTGTCCTGCTAATGATAGGATTTCTATTGACTTAGGTATAGAAATATGCGACAGGATGTTTGGGGAATAAGATTAAAAATTCACTTTGTGGTAAATCATATTTTATTGAACTGGGATGTTACCAGTTATAGTTTCCAGTTAACCTGACACAGTATGAAATGTGTATCCCAATTTCAGAGATGTTTAAATCTTTAAAAATGTTGTTCAGAGTATGTATATACATGTATGAAAATGCCACTATGGCCAGGCATGGTAGCATGCACCTGTAATCCCAGCACTTGGGAGGCTAAAGCAGGAGGATTGACACGAGTTCCACCTGGGCTATGTAGTAAGTTTGAACAACATAGCAAGACCCTGTCTCAAAAGATCATCAGGACATATTAGCTGGGCATGGTGCACATACCTGTAATCCCAGCATTTTGTGAGGCTGAGGCAAGAGGATCCCTGTGAGTTCAAGGCCAGCCTACACTACGTAGCGAGTTTAAGGCCAGCTAAAACTACACAATCAGACCATCTCTTTAAAAAAAAAAAAATGCTATAGTGAAACTCAGTATGCTGTGTAATTAATACACCCTGATATGTTTTGGGGAAAACACTACTTTTCAGAATCATTAAGCTCAGATAGTGTGAAATAGAAAGAAAATGACTAAAGGGGGAAGTGGGAAGGGGAGGGGAAAGGAAATAAGGGAAAAGAAAAAATAAGAAAAGAGGAAAAAATGGAGACAAAGTCTTTGTAAATAGGGAAGGGTGAAGGAGGTGAAGGGAGGGCAGCGGTATGGGAAAAAAATAAGAACCAAGACATAGCACGTAAAGGTACAAGATTCCAATGATAAATGTAACTGTATGGTTTGCTTTAAATATACTAGTAAACTTAATGGGGGAAAAAAAGAATCATTAAGCTCAGTAATATTTGAGATGCCTAGTAGACATTCAGGTAGAAATGTTGAAAGGACTGTCGTATATATAAACATGTCATGCAGGGAGCAGTCGGAGCTAAAAATAATACCTTTGGAGAAACATGAGTTTTATGATGGATGAAATCACCAGTGGAAAAGATACATACAGATGAAGGAAAGAAGGCATTTGCTCTAAGAACTAAGCCACTTTGGTCAACTGAATTCAGGACAAAGAACTTAGATTTAGCTCATCGTTGACCTTGCTAAGATTTGGAGGAGGCGGTGCTTTTGTTTCCAAGAAGTGCTTGTTGAGACTCAGAGCTGAGAAGTGAATGATAAGAAATAGACAACCATGAAAAGATGTGGAAGTAGAATATTCCAGGCAGAAAACAGTTTGTGCCAAGAAGCCTAGTGGAATTAAGTTTGTCATTTCTGAGGAACAGGAGAAAGGGGGGCAGAGTGTCCGGAGTGAATGCATTGCTATTGCATTCTTTCTTATATGTCATGGTTTTCTTTTTCATAAATTTATATTCTTACATTAGACTAATCAACATTCTCTCCTCTCCTGTCCTCTCCTCTCCTCCCTCGCAGCACTAGTACCAGGGAATCTAACCCATGTATACTCTACCACTAAGCTACATCCCTAGCACTTTTTCTGTTTTGGGACAGGGTCTCACTGAGTTGCCTATGCTGGGTTTGAACATGCCATCTACCATGCCTAGCTATCTTTCAGTTTCTTAGGCTTTTTTTTTTCTAATTTCTTGAAATGAATTATTTCTAATTATGAATTATTCTTCTTTTTCAGTCTTTAACACGTTTCTAATTCTGTGTAATGATTTTGCTGTTATAATTTTAGTATTTCTACTTTGTTGTGTGGTAAACTGTTGTATTACTCTCGTAAAGTGTGTAGTCTGTTTATATATGTCATAATTATGTATATGTTTTACTAACAGTCTTTAATGTTTCTAATTCTGTGTAATGATTTTGCTGTTATAATTTTAGTATTTCTACTTTGTTGTGTGGTAAAATGTATTACTCTCGTAAAGTGTGTAGTCTGTTTATATATGTCATAATTATGTATATGTTTTACACTATTTTTATTATGCATTCTTCTTGTTTTAGTGGTTGCTAGAGCTTTTGACGTAAGTGCTTATTATCTTTAGCTTTAGCTTTCTACTGAACAGTTAAAAACCTTTGAGTACTTTGATTTTCATAACTTCTTTGAACTAAAAACTTAAAATTTGATCTTGTTTAAATGCCTCAAAATATTATTAATAATATACTAATTATACTTTCAGTATTTGTTTAGGATTATCTCATATTTCAACTTGATTTTTCATTCTTTCATGTGTTTTTTAATTTTATTTTCAGTACTGTACCCTGAACCCAGGGGCCTTATGCGTACTGGGCAAGTACTCTACCACTAAGTTAAATCCTCCTCCCTCCTTCTTGCATTTATCTTCCCTTTGGGGTTCCTGTCATTCTGCCAGAAGAACATTTTGTAAAATATGCATCAATTGGAATTTCTAGTGGAATACTCCATTTTTAGACAAATAATATTGTTTTGCTGTAAATCTTGAAAGTTGTATGTGCTAGGTATAAAACTACCCTGACAGATCTTTTCTCAGAATATTCAAAGTATAATGCCATTGTCTTCTAATGTAAATCTAATTCTAAATTTTCTTTGATAGTAATTAGTCTCTTTTCCTCAAGATACTTTAAGAATTCTTTGTGTGTTTGGTATCTTATACTTCCATATCATATTTAAGTATGGATTTTGTTTTTATTTATTTTTCTTGGTACTTAGGAGTTTGCTAAATATGGTTTGGTGTCTTTCATCAGTTCTGGAAAATCTTTATCTCTTGTCTTTTTGAATATTGGCACCAAACCATTCTCTGTTTCTCTTGCATCCTTCTAGAACTCTTACTAGACCAATAATAAGCTTTCTTAGTCATCTGTGTCTCTTCACATCTTTATGTTTTTCATCTTTGTGCTTGTGCTATTATTTCTTTGTTTTCTTGTTTGTATTTCCAGTGAGCTGCTTCTTTCTGTGTTTTGTCGTTGTTGTTTTGAGATGGGGCCTCCCAGTGTAGTTCAGGCTATTCTTGTACTTACCCTATAGCCCAGGCTGGCCTCCATGCTTCTTTCTCTTTGAATGTTATCTGTGCTAATTCTTTGAGGATAAGATATATTTCTCCAGAAGAAAGTTTCATCAGCTTGTCAGAGACTATTGGATACTTAAAAAAACCGGACTCATAGTCAGTATATACTTAATTCTCATCATGAGGTTAATGAACTTTGTACGTTATGTAACCTCAAGATATAAACCTATATAAGGCTGACTTTATGTTTCACAGTGCAGGCCATAGTTTGAGACAGGCAGTATTGCCTTGTCTCTAGTGGTGGCCATGAAGTATGCTGAAGGTGTACCTCTTTGGGAGTGGTTTTCTATTACACTCTCAATGTTGAGTAGCTCTAAACTTTGTCTGCAGTCTCTCTACCAAGAGATCATGAAAATGAACCCTCAGAGTCCCCTGGCTGGGCAGATGTCCTCAAGATGAAAGTCAGTTTCATTTTCTTCACTCTGGGTTCTCACCTGCACTACTAGCATGTTGGCCAGAGCTCCTTATCTTCATGCTAACTAATAAATGCATTGATGAAGATAGTTTTATTATTTTTAGTTGTCTATAGCAAGAGGGTCAATAAGGGTATTTCACTAGTCATTTTGCTCAAAGTGAAAATTCAAAACTACTTTTTAAAAAGTTTTGCAGTCTTATTGGAAGTATTCTGGTTACAATATAATCTTATATATACAGCATTTACAAATTATTGTCATTCAGGCATTAGATACCAATAATTTATCTTTTTACTACATGCTGCTGATTCCCAGTGAAGAAGATGGATGAATAGATGGGAGGTGTGGAGCAGTAGTACTTCTAAAAGGAAGAAATAAGTAAATACCCTTCTTTCAGATTCTATATTGCTTAATGTTCCTTTATAGCCATGTAATGTAACTCTCTCTGAATTCAGAGTGGGGTATGTATTGAGGAAACTTTGGGCCACCGGTCTGGGCGAGTCAGTTTTGATTTCTGGAAATGCTTATGCAGGAGTAGTCTTCATTCAGACATTTTCCATAGAGGAAATTTCAAGGGTTAACTGTTATGTGCTTTAGTACACCACATCTTTCTGAATTACAGTCCATGCATGTGATTGAAAACTAGCATAATGATTAAAGGAGAAATAGTTCCAGATACATGACTCTTCGGGTAGTGTTTGGGACTTAATATTGTCATTTGCTTTAATTTTAAATAGTTTTGAATGTTGAATTAGTAGTGACTGACATGTGGTCAGTTATAGTATTATCCCTAATGAGATGTCCAGGTTTCCTTCTTGGGAGGGACCAAAATATCAAAAGGAATAAAAATTACAGTAATCCTATCCTGACTCCTTTGGTACAAGTGAATGTTGGAAGTTTCATTCTAAACTAATGTATATGTTCTGAATATAAAGATCTTAAAATTATTTTTTAATTAGGTTCAGGACTTCTGGAAATCTTCTTATCACCCGTGAGATTGATGTGGCAAAAAATCAGTCCTTTTGGTTCATCAACAACAAGTCTACAACCCAGAAAGTAGTAGAAGAGCAAGTTGCAGCCTTAAATATTCAAGTGGGCAATCTTTGCCAGTTTCTACCCCAGGTATAAGAGAAATAAATGTAAACATGATGCCATATCAGAATGTAAATAGCTTTCAAGGGATAGTGTACTGATTACTATCTACACTGCACATAGCACAACACAAAACACTGTAGAGAGTACATTGATTTCTTTTTTCTTCTTTTTCCTTAGTAATGAGAGTTAAACCCAGGCCCTTCACAATGAGCTCCATTCCCAAACCTTTTTCATATTTTTTATTTGAAGGCAGGCTCTCAATAAATTGCCAAGTGGCCAGGGTGGGCTTGAATTTGTGGTCCTCCTACCTCAGCTTGCCAGAGAGCTGGGATTATAGGTGTCCATGGCCGAATGAAGCAGCCCCCCACCTTTGTTTTTTCTTGTTTTATTGAAGACTGGACCCAAACCCTTTGCATTGAGCTATGTCCCCAGCCCCATTATCATTTTTCTTTATTGTGAGACAAGCTCTCACTAAGTTTCCCAGTCTAATTTTGAATGATCCTCCTCCCTCAGCCAGCATTTTCATACTGACAGTTGAATGTAAAATCTCATATAGTATATTATTAATTTTATTAATGAGTATAAATTATAGTGTTTTAAATAGTGATATTAATTATGTAAATAGTTTTGATAGCTATATGCTTCCTTTGTAGAACCTTAAGATTTTGCCTGTGAACAGTATTTTAAAAATCATTTTAATGTATTTGTATAAAGTACTTGATATACTAAAGCTTGTATTGATAGGTGTACTGCTAAAATAGTTATATCTTGAAATTATTAATAAAAACTAAAAATCCCAATACAGCATGTTAAATGTTAAAATCAAATACTTAAGTTTGCCTTTAAATGCTGTTTAGTGACAGAATCATACTTCATTTTCTTTAGTAACAGTAGCGACTGGGTTAAATACATCCAAATCAAATACAAATCTGATATTTGAGATTTTTGCATTTACCAGCTTATGAAAGACTTGTTTCCAGAAGTAGAGGCTTGAAATTGCTTTCTTTAAATAAATAAATAAATGAGACCATTTCAGTGATGATTTGATAGGGTTAATCATTTTAGTCCAGGAGACTCATTTTTCTTTTATTCACAAAGTATATGTTATACTTACATAAACATTTCAAGTTGGAACTACTGCCACACAGGTTTATTAAAGTTTATCAAAAAGAAGAGCCAGGGATTTAGCTTACTCTACTGCAGCTGCCTGGCTCAAAAGTGCAAGGTCCTAAGTTCGATCTCCGGTACCAAAAAAAAAAAAAAAAAAACACCATATATGAACATTTGCATCTCCAAATTTGTTTTGTTTTGTTTCGTTTTCCTGTACTGTGGATCAAACCCAGGAAGTTCTAAGCAAAATTCCCATCCCTTTTTAGTTTATTTTGAAGTGATATCTCCCTGTTTTGCTTAGTCTGACCTTTACTGTGTGATCCTCCTGCCTTGGCCTCTTAAATTGCTGTCATTACAGGTATGTGCCAATCTGGCCAGCTCAGCATAAAGGTTTTTTTAAGTGAAATCTTTTTTCCCTCACTACTGGTGGTTGAACCCAAAGGCCTTTGCATGAAGCTACACTGTCACTTCTTTTTTGTTTTTTATTTTGTGGTAGAGTGTCATTAAAGATGGTAAATTGTCCAGACTGGGCTCAGAGTTGGCAGTCCTCCTGCCTCAGCCTCCCAGAGTGCTAAGATTATAAGCACTTTGTATCACCATGCTTGGCTGAGTAAAGTCCGTCTTGACAAATAATCTTTGAGTAAAATACATTTTTACTATATTTATAAGTGATAATTGTTGCAGGTGTTTAATTTTTGTGCTCTAGGACAAAGTTGGAGAATTTGCAAAACTCAGCAAGATTGAACTCCTTGAAGCTACTGAGAAGTCAATCGGTCCTCCAGAAATGCACAGATATCACTGTGAACTCAAAAACTTCAGGGAGAAAGAAAAACAACTAGAGGTATTTATAGACAACTTATTTCTACTGTCCTTTTCTGATTTCTGTGTCTTAAATTGTGGAATAGTGCGTTAGGATTAGAGTTGGGTTTAGGTTCTTATTGCTGACACTAAATACCCTTATACTTACAAATTAAAGGAGGAAAGGTTTACCAGTTGTAAAGTTTTGGGGTTTTTCTGTTTTGTTTTGTTTACCATTTGTAGAGGTTTTAGTCCATAATCTTCTGTCTCTAAGACAGATCACCATGGCAGAGGGGAAGCAGTCCATGTCAGGCAAGCTGCAAGCCTGCCTTCTTTCTGTCCCTTTTAGATTCCTCCTAGGCTATAAGCCTATTGTTTGGTGCCACCCACTCCTGGGGTGAGGCTTCTATTATCCACACCCAGAGGTATGCTAAACCAATTTAATCATCACACACCCTCAGTTCTAGTATCACACACTCCCATTCCAGCCACCTCGGAAAAGCCCCAGCAATGAGTACATAAGGCTTTGGAAGGATATATATAGTCCTAACAAGTAGTGAGTAGTAGTTTTATTCCCTGAATGAGTTATAATTCTAGTATCACACACTCCCAATCCAGCCACCTTGGAAAAGCCCCAGCAATGAGTACATAAGGCTTTGGAAGGATATATATAGTCCTAACAAGTAGTGAGTAGTAGTTTTATTCCCTGAATGAGTTATTTTTTATTTTGAGTTTTTATTTTGATTTTTTTTTTTTAAAAAACACAGGATTGTACTTGTTGACATTAGTTAAAGTGACAAGAATTAGAGTTGATTTGATAAGATTGCTTTTTTTTTAAAAAAAACACAGGATTGTACTTGTTGACATTAGTTAAAGTGACAAGAATTAGAGTTGATTTGATAATGTAAAGTTTGAAAAATGTGTTTCAGCAATACATTTTATTAATTGAGTTTTTAAGGAATCCATAGTAATATTTTTTTCTCTTAGGAAATTATATGATTCTATCATTCAGTTACTACTGTTAATCACCTACCATGTGCCAGGTACCATCTAAGGTTGTAGATAATACAGCAGATACAGATGTGGTGTTTAATATCTTGCCTCTGTTGAACCAGTTTTCTCATTGTATTTTTTTCAGTGTCTTGAAAGTAGACTTTCTAAAAATAACTTTATACATTTAATTGTGTTGTTTTTTAAATTACCAACCTTAAGAAATGTCCTTTTATAGTATGCTATTTGTTTTATTTAGTGGATCTTTTTTCACATCCCTGAACCTAAAATAAATTAGTATATTTTCAAAATGAAAAATCTTACAATTCTATACTTGATAATACATATTTAATTGTAATAAAATATTTTTATAACACTAATTCATTGAAGTTCCATAACCTAATAATCATAGTGCTACTTTTCATTTGAATATCATTTTATAGCTTTTGTTGATACAGGTTGAACATTCCTAATCCAAAATTTGAAATGCTCAAAAATCTGAAATATTTTTAGTGTCACATTGGTGCTCAAAGTGTTTGAAATTTTATCTGAGAATGGTGGCATGTGACTGTAATCCCAGCACTCAAGAGGTTGAAGCAAACCAGTGGAGAGTTTAAAGCTAGCTTGGACTACATATTGAGACCCTATTTTTTAAACAAATTTCAAATTATGGAGCATGTCACATTTTGGGTTTTCAGATTAGAGATACTCAGCTGGTAACATCTATGAAAATAATTCCAAAATCTGAAAAGTTTCAAAATCACAGACATTACCCCCCACCATGTTGTAGAAGGGCTCCTTAATCTTTATGAACAAATTGCTTCTACCCCTGCAGCTGGTGGGGGAGATAAATTTTATCTTTAAGCGAGATGAGTCAGGTTCAGAGATGTGACAGGGCTTTCTTACAGTCGCCTGACTAATAAACTGTAGAAACTCAACTAAAGTCTGTATGAGAATGTTAACTTTCAACCACTTCACAGTTTACCCCAAGTGTTACTCAGGCAGCATGTTTTCTTAGTGCATATACTGACTATCCTGAGTGTCGCTCGGGCAAGTGACGTTTCAACTAGTTGATTCTTGTATTGAATACAGTTTGATAAAATTGGCATTTTCATATTTCCTATTATCCTATAAAAATTTTTAAAATATGCAATTTTGGATCATTTTATATTTTAGTAATTGGACTAATAATTGGTTAACACAGTTCCTGAGAACTGTGGAATTCTTAATTGTGAAATGTTGCTACCATTATGTTTCACTGTTAAAAGATTTGACCTGTTGTCTTTTTTCAGTTAAACTAATTGTTCAACACATTTATTTTAGACCTCATGCAAAGAAAAAACTGAATATCTAGAGAAAATGATTCAGAGAAATGAAAGATATAAACAAGATGTAGAGCGGTTCTATGAACGTAAGCGACATTTAGATTTAATTGAGATGCTTGAAGCCAAAAGACCGTGGGTGGTAAGTGTTAATTATTAAAGGTAAAAGCAGTGAGGCAGTAAGAAGGCAGCAAGGCAGTATAAGGAAGGCAGTAATTACCTCACATTCAAGTCAGATGCTTTTTCATTTTTGCTCCATATACTGCACATAATAAAATTATGACTTCTAGTATATAGGTGTGTGTGAGTCAATGGTAAATCATTGCTCTTAACTCTTCTAGATTTAAGTCCTTAGCAAGTAATTCTTTGATTTTTTTGAAAGAAAAATGTTCATGATCTGAAAGTGTTTACACTTGTGAAAATTTTAAGTCATTATCCTCAGGTCACTGATAATTTATTTGGGCTATTGTCACTTATATTAAATTCATCTATAAATCATCTTAACTGTAGTCTTCTATTGGTGTTACATAATTTTCTTGAGGCTGGTACATTCTGATCACACTTGTATGATGAGTATTTTATTACCTAAGACCTAAGTTTCAGCTGAAGATTGCGTTCCCTCAATGCCATTACTTCTTAGTAGTTGGAAGAAAATAGTAAAAAATATTTTTGGGACCTGGGATTTAGCTCAGTGGTTCCACTGCCTGCCTTGCAAGTCCTGAGTTCATTTCTCAGTACCCAAAAAAAAAAAAATTTGTTTTAGGTTTTAAGGTTAGAATGAAATGTTTATTAATAGATTGAGAAAGAGTATTGTAGTATTCTCTCCTCTTCCCTGTTTCAAATTTTGTTATTATATTAAACTTTTTCCTTTCTTCAAACCTTCTGAAGTGGTTTCTCCCTGTACCCTTTTATTCTTTCACCCATTTTAATCTCTTGAAGTCTTTTGTTTGATTTCAGTGTTTAAAATTTTCCCTCTTTGACTGATTTGCTCTGACGTATTTGGGTTCTTACCTTTATATTGTACTCTTCAAATATGTTTTTTTCAGCAAAAATAAATATTAATTCCTGTGACATGATGCATTTTTACCTAGTGTCTAGGTATATACTTCTTCTTGTTTGCCTTCTGACCACTTTTCCCCCCATTTTTACCTTCATAATTCAGATTATTTTGCTTCCTTATATACCCCTGAATTCTTTATTGAGTGATTAGAGAAAATCTCATTATAATGCCATTAGAGTCATTTCTTAGGTTTGGTTTCTGCCTGTACCTTGATTTTAGTATATGAGCTAGTTTCAGCTACTTACTGTGTGTTACCTTCTATTTTTTTGTTTATGCAGTCAGGCTGGCCTTGAGCTCATTATGTAGTCTAGGCTGGCCTCGAGCTCACAGATATCCTGCTGCCTTAGCCTCTTATGTGCTGGGATTATAGGCATTTGCCACCATGCTCAGCTTACTTGTATTTTTTGAATTATTTTTAAGGAATATGAAAATGTTCGGCAAGAATATGAAGAAGTAAAACTAGCTCGTGACCGAGCGAAAGATGAGGTCGAAAAACTTAAAGAAGGACAGATCCCCATTACACTTCGAATTAAGGAAATTGAAAAGCAGCGTTGTGATTTGGAGGCTCAAATCAAACAAAAGGTACGTTTTCACTTTGGATAATGTGAGTTTTATCACAAACACAAAAAATACCTTGCAGTTCATTCAAAATATTTTCTGAGATTTACTGTATTTTGATAAAGAGTCTTATTAAGTTTCTAAGTTGCCCAAGCTGAACTCCAACTTGGGATTCTCCTGCCTACGCCTTTTATGGGGTTGGGTTTACAGGCACCCACTCCTGGCTTGAAATGTGATTAAGTACAAAATAATTTGTAATAGTATTCCTAGAAACATTGAGCTTCTTTTGTGAATTTATTACACCTGGCTTGTAGTTTTATATATATATTTACCCATTTGGAGGAGGATGATATAGAAAATCTGGTATTAGAATAAGTAGTGTACTCATTCTTTTTTATTTTATTTATTTATTTATTTATTTATTTATTGTTGTTGTTGTTGTTGTTGTTGTTGTTGTTTTGAGACAGGGTCTGACTATGTATTGAGACTGACCTGGAACTCACCGTGTAGCCCAGGATGGTCTCGAACTCATAGTGATCCTCCTGCCTCAGCCTTCCGAGTGCTGGGATACAGACATGCATCACCACGCCTGGCTTTCTTTTTTATTTTAAATTGTTACCAGTTGGGAATGTAGCTCAGTGGTAGGACACTTGCCAAGCATGCATGAAGTCATGAGTCCTGCCCCCAGTACCACAAAAATAAATAAAAAATTGTTTATGACCATGACTTAACATTTAGGGACTTTGGGATCAGAGGTCAATTATATTGAGAATGGTTTAAGAATATAGTAGTCTTCGGGAGGGATGGAGGGGTTGAAGGAAGGGCAGGATAATGGGGAAAATAAGAACCAAGATATATTATGTAAAGGTACAAGTTCCCAATGATGAATGTAACTATTGTATACATAAAATATACCAATAAATTTAATGGCAAAAATAAAGAATACAGTAGTCTCCTTTTATCTGATGAGGTACATTCCAAGACTCCCCAGCGTATGTCTAGAACTACAGATATTCTTGGACCCTATAGATTTTGAGTATCTTTTATACAAAATTCTTAGGACCAAAGTGTTTTATATTTCAAATTTTGGTGATTTTGGAATATTTGCATAGTCCCTAATCCAAAAATCCCAAATCTGAAACTTCTTAGGTATCTTGTTGGTGCTCACAATATTTCAGATTTGAGGGCATTTTAGATTGCAGAGTTTTGGACTATGGATGTTCAACCTGTATATACTATTTTTTTTCCTATACTTAACATACCGACGTATGCATGTTGAGCAATGCTAATTGAGTGAAAAAGGCCATGTCTAAGAATATAAAATCTAAAACAAAGGAAAAGAATCACTAATTTTGACTTTGCTAGTGTCAGGTCAGAAAAGCTTAATTCTACTATGGGTTAAAGTGACTTAGAATTATTAGGCCCAAGTCAAGAAGATTAAGTTACAGATTAAGAACAGTTAAGGATTTTAGGACTTGATTGGATCCAATTTTAAGAGAATTACTATTGATCATTTTAATTTTAGAGCAGGAAAGGATCATAGATATTGTTACCCAGACAAGTTTCTTAACTTTATAGTTAAGAAGACTAAATCCTAAAGATAACATGACTTCTTGAGGGATAGAGCTGATCATTTCACATTAATAGTGATTGGTTACAGGTAAGCTGTGGATCTGTAATTTCTTTTTTGGGTACCTGACTATACCATTAAACTACTTTTTTTTTTATATGGAAGAAATATGTACAGTGAATTTCAAGTCTCTTAAAGAATCATTTAAATTCCTTTTTTTTCTTTTGAGTTCCTAACAGAAGGCATTGTCAAATGTCTCTGAGCCTAATTTGTTTGGCAGTCTATGTAATCTGAGTATTTTAGAATTATTTTCATGGAGAAGTGTTTCTGAACTGTGAAGTAGCACATTATATTGTCCTATATTTTCTTAAGTAAGTTATTAGATCCCATAACCATGCAATAGAAATGAGATGGTTAATTTTGTTTAGTATCAGTATTATCCTTGTTCTTGTTTCCTGTTTCAGCAGAAAATCTTTTCCAATACTCATGAATGTTTTTAACGTTCCATGGAGGTTATGTAATGTTATGGGTAAGACACAGACTTTGAATTCACATAGAGCTATATTTTAAATCCCTCACTGTCATTTAAAAACAAAGACCTCATTTCTTTCATGTGTAAAAAAAAAAGCACCAATATCTGATCTAACTATCCTATAGTTAGGATCATAAAATAACGCAGGGAAATAAATATGAGGTAAATGTATGCATACATATTATAGCTTTGAGAGAATTTCTTATACTCGGTATTTTGGTGGAATGTAATTACAAATTTGGTTTGAAATAAATTGTGAGGAAGGCATTTTTGTAGGTTAACTTACGTAACAGTATTTGCATGGTTGGGACTACATAATTGGATTGGATTTTTAAGTAATGTTTCTCTTCTCTTACAGGCAACCGATATTAAAGAGACATCTCAAAGATGCAAACAAAAGCAAGATGTTATAGAAAGGAAAGATAAACACGTAAGTTTCCTGCTGGAATTTTTATTATTTTAATTTGAACCCTCCCCTCCCTGGTCTGGATAATGGTCAGATTCTTGTTTGGAAATTGTCCAAGATTCTCCTCATTCTTTATTTCTTATGTTAATTTGTGAAGGACATTTAAGATTTGAGTATATAGTAGTTGTGCAAATCACAGAGGAAAATTTCTCAAAACTACTAGTTTAGCTAATCTCACAAGTATACAGATTGTGCGGTTGGGGACGGAGGGTGTTTCCTGAGCATTGAACCCAAGGCTTTGCTCTACTGAGCTGCACTCTAACCCCTCAGATATAGAATTTAAGCCTTTTTTTTTTTTTTATGATTTTAGGATATTTTGAAGCATCTTTTGGACTTTCATTGTGTATTTATTGTTCTGTATATGTTTGAAAGATTTTGTTTCTTGTATTTGACTATGTCTCTCTCTCTCTCAGGTTTACTATAATTGTATTTCTCAAATGTTCTACATTTATTTACATAGTTGATGAATCCATTTTTCACGTGTATATACACTATCTCCTACAAGTATAGATGTTTTTCCTTTACTTACATTAATTTTTGCTACTTAGATTTTAAAGCTTTCTTTGTTCTTTCTGCATCATATTTTACGTATTATAAAATAATATGTGCTTTTGTTTTATTTTATTTTGTTTTTATATTTTTATTTTGAGACAGTTTCAAGTTGCCCATGCTGGGCTCCATCACCCTGCCTCAGTCTTCCAGAGAGCTGGGACTGGAGGTGTGCACGATCATACCCCACTTGAATTTTTTTCACTTTGGTGTAAAATCCTTCCTGTCAGTAAAGGAGTTTAAAAACAGTGGACTCTTGACTTTACGAACTCAGTTCCTTCTTGAGGGCCGGTTGTAAGTCATGTTGATTGTAAGTCAAGACTGTTTTTCTCATAAAAAGTAAAGGAAATACCCATGCATTCTAAACCTCCCAAAGCACCCCTTTTGTAACACTTTTCATAATAAAAAAGGGTTGTAAGGGGCCAGGGATTTAGCACAGTGGTTCTGTGCCTGCCTTGCAAGCACAAGCTCTGAGTTCTATCCCCAGTAACCAAAAGAAAGAAAGAAAGAGAGAGAGAGAGAAAGAAAGAAAGCGTGCATTGTAGAATGTACGTAATTTACCAGAAACAATAATTTTCCTGGTGTATTAACCAAAAAGTTATAGAATGTGGCTAGTTTACTGGAAGCAACAATTTCACAGCATACTCACCATTCAAGTTGACATCCTTGACTTGCAGGAAGAGAGGATGAAATGGAAGGTGGTGGTTGTTTGGAAGGAGAGTCCCTTCCATAAGCACATCAGGAAACTGACTCTCTGGTGTCCTTTCTCTCCTTGAGAGAGTCTAGCCCACTGGGACCAGCTTCTGGCCCACTAGGTTTCAACCTTTTCAGAACTAAAAACTGGTCTAAGGTTGTCGGTTTCTGTCTTTTCTTTAACACTGTCATGACACTGTTACTAAGTAAGTGATTGCAACTATTGGCTTTTTCTCTGTCTGGGTGAGTCTTCTCTACAAATGTTTGTAGCTCTGTCCATTTTTCAGCATTTCCTTTATTTCAGAAGAACTTTGCTGCACTAATTGTTGATACTCCCCCTCTTCAGAAAGCTCCTCAGCTGCCCCTCTCTGTTGCTCATCCAGAAGTTACTGAATCTCCTCTATAAACAATTCCTCTCAATATTCCTCCCCCAGTTCTTCAGCATCACCACTATCTACTTGTAAGTTTTAATGACAGTGTCATCAACCACACAGTCAATTGAAGGCTCAGGCTCCTCTATGCAGCCTTCAAAGCCTCTCTCCTGTATAACTTTAGGCCATACTTTCTTCCAGGCAGATCTTAGTGTCCTTAGAGAGACCTTGGCCCAGGATTTCTTAGTTAACCCTGCACAGGAAAGACCAGCATTCGTGTCATTACTCAAGGTTTTGGTTGTAAGTTAAAACTAAAATTTTGGTTGTAACCCAAGTTGTTCATACGTGAGGCTGGTCATAACTCAAGGGTCCACTGTAGTTCACATTTGCTGTCATGTTTTCTACTTAAAGCTTTTGTTTGATTCCTTGTACTACTCTTTCTACTTACTATTGCAATTGATCATTGTTTTTACTCCATTTTTATTCTGTAGTTTGAAAGTTGTTTGTTCTATACCTATTCTAGTGCTCTTAAAGTTTAATATATTTATCTAAAAAAAGTTTGAGTTACTGGTATTTTTATTCTTTCACTTAAGGTAAAAATCTTAGCATGCTTTTGTCTTCTTGTCCACCTCAATTTCTCTATTAGAAGTTTGACTTATTGAGCTGGACGTGGTGGTGCACACCTGTAATCCCAGCACTCGGGAGGCTGAGGCAGGAGGATCGCTGTTAGTTCGAGACCAGCCTGGGCTACTCAGTGAGTTCCAGGTCAGTCTCAACTACATAGTGAGACCCTGTCTCAAAAAACCAAAACACAAAATTTTTTTTTGACTTATTACCTTAAATGTTACTTTACCATTTGTATTTATTTGGATTTAATAATACGTTTATTGGTTTATTTGATGATGTTGCTTCTTATATCACATTTCTTCTGGTTTCCTCTTATGAGAAGGTGGGGATTCCTTTATTTTTTCCTTGTTAGACTATCTTTTGTAGGTCTTATAGAGAGGCAGTTAGTAAATTTTCCGAGTCTTTGTATATCTGAAAAGATCTTTTTCAAAACACTCCTCTGCACTGTTACATGATTAGATAGTAAATTCTAAGATAGAAAATTTTTTTCCTTAACATTTAAGTAATCTTGCCTCAGTGTTCTCTTGGGTCCTGTGTTGCTCCTGAAAAGTAACACATAGGAATAATCAGAGACACACTAGAGCTATGTACAAAAAGTAAATTGAATTAGATTCTGAGTGTGGTGAGAAACTATGAAAAAGGCCTTGAAAGTTTTTAAACCAGGGATAAACAGTATTTCTAACATTTAACATTTAATGAATACTAGTGCTGCCATTTATTGAAATAAGGATTACTAGAAGACAGGAAATAATTTTATTTTGACTATGTAAATTTCTGTATAATTTTGAACCTTGTTGTGTCTCTGAGTTTTATTTATTTATTCTTTAATTGTTTTGAGTTTATTGGTACATTCTAGGTATACAGTACAGTTACATTCATTTTTGGGATCCTGTACCTTTACATGACAGGTCTTGGTTCTCATTTTTTCCCCTTGTCCCTGCCCTCCCTTTACCCCTCCTCCCCTCCCCATTAACACATACTTTGTATCCATTTTTTCATTTTCTCATATTTTTTTCTTATTACCTTTCCCCTACCTTTCCCACTCTCCCTACACCGTTAGCCCTGTTCTTCCCATTTTACAATGTCACTTATCTCATTAGGATCTTATGTATATATTAGTTTATTCACACTAGAGAAACTATTTGGTATTTACACACATGTGACTTATTTATTTCACTTAGGAGTATGTCCTCAATATGCATCCATTTTCCTGTAAATGGATCTAATTTCTCACTCTTTATGGCTGAGTAGTATTCCATTTCAAAAACCACATCTTCTTTATCCGATCTCCAACTGATGGGCAAATGGGCTGTTTCCAAGTTTTAGCTATTATAAATTGTGCCTCTGTAAACATGAGTGTGCATATATATCACTCTGGTGTGATTTCTTTTAATTCATTCTTTTGGAGATACCCAGAAGCGGGATGGCTGGGTCAAATGGAACCTCTAGTCCCAGCTCTTTGAGGTATCTCCATAATGATTTCCATAGTGGTGGCACCAGTCTGCATTCCCACCAACAATGGAGAAGGGTTCCTTTCTCCCCACAACCCTGCCAACATTTGTTATTGGTTGATTTCTTGATGTCAGCCATTCTTTGTGGGGTGAGGTGGAATCTCAGTGTTGTTTTCATCTGCATCTCTTGAATGACCAATGATGTGGAACAGTTTTTCATATATTTGCTTGCTGCTTTTGCTTCTTTGTCTGAGAAATGTCTGTTCATTTCAGATGCCCTCTTTTGAATCGGGTCTTTATATTTGGGGGGAATGATTGTTTTGAGTTCTTTATAGATTCTAGGTAATAGTCCTTTGAGGAGCAGCTGGTAAAAATTTTTTCCCCACATTGTAGGTTGTCTCTTAGTTCTGTTGATGGTTTCTTTTGCAGTGCAGAAGATTTTTAATAAGATGAGATCCCAGTTGTTGATTCTTTCTGCTAGTTCCCATGCTACTGAGGATTTGTTCATAGTCTTTTCCTATGCCAATGTCTTCAAGAATTCTGCCTAACTCATTATCTTCTAAGAAGTTTAGTGTTTCTGTTTTAATATTTAGATCTTTAATCCACTTGGATTTTAATTTAGTGCATGGTGAAAGATAAGGGCCTAGTTTTAATCTTTGGCAGATCCAGTTTTTCCAACACCATTTATTAAAGAGGCCATCCTTCCTCCAATGGGGACGGTCAGCTCCTTTGTCAAAGATGAGGTAGCTGA